CGTCCAGCCGGGACTGTGCTTGGCCGGCGCAGTATCCCGGGGTACCTATCGGGCTTCCCAGGACCTTGATTCCCTCTGCGCTTTGCCGTAGACCGAGTGGCACTGTCGCGTCAACCGCTTCATCCAGTGCCTGGCACCAAACCGAAGACTTGCTGGTGTTACAGCGTAGGCCAACCGTTGCCAGTCCCCTCGTTATCGTGTCAAAGGCCTTGAGGGCCGCCCGTCGAGGCCCCACTATTGTGATGTCATCTGCGTACGCGACTACCGCCACCTCCGGCTGGAGCGTCGCTGTGCCAAGTAAGGTCGGCTGTATTGCGGCCGCAAAGAGGAGAGGTCCCAGTGGGTCCCCCTGGCGCACTCCGCGGGAGCTCAGGATATGGTCTACGCCGAGGCGGTGATCTACCAGGAGGCGGGAGGAGTTCCCATAGAGCGTAAGGACAAAGGGCAGGAGGGGCAGTAGACTAGAGTGAGAGAGCGCAGTGAGGAAAGCGGAGCGCTCGACACTGTTGAACGCGTTTTCAATGTCTAACTGCAGTGCTACTCGCGACTCGTCCTCTTTAAGAAGCGCCCTGGCTGAGTGGATGATGCATTCCGCGCCGCCGGTGACTGCTACCCCAAACTGCACCGGGAGAAAGAAATCCCTAATGTTTGGTGCTAGCTCCCGAAGTGCGGCCTTGGCTGTGACTCGCAGGATCGCCTCGCCAATCGCAATCGGCCGCACCCCGCCGCCAGGTTTCTCCAGTGCGATCAGCCGAGATGGTAGCAGGAGGTCGCGAACTGGCTCTGTCTGAAGCGTGCTGAGCAGGTAGGAGACGACCTTGCTGAGGAGGAGCAGGACTTCTCCGTTTGTCAGGGCAGGATCCTTGAGGTGCTCAAAGCACGTTCCCGAAGGACCCGCTCCAACCCCGTTCTCTCTCTCTCTCTCTCTCTCTCTCTCTCTCTCTCTCTCTCTCTCTCTCTCTCTCGAATGGTCCATTGTATTGATATAGGGGTGTGAAAACAGCAAAGGCAAGCAGGCAAGCAACAAACAGGAAAGTCCAACTATTCCCCACCCTACTCTCAACCCCTCCCCTCCCCCCCCCCCCCCCCCCCCCCCCCCCCCCCAAGTCGTCTACACACTACCATTGCACGGCTCTAGGGTTGCAAAGCAATCCCCTGGGTCCAGGACCCCCTCTGGTCCTCCTAGGGCTGGGTTTTCTATCTGGGTTTTCTATCTCTCTCTCTCTCTCTCTCTCTCACTCTCTCTCTCTCTCTCTCTCTCTCTCTCTCTCTCTCTCTCTCTCTCTCTCTCTCTCTCTCTCTCTCTCTCTCTCTCTCTCTCTCTCTCTCTTTCTCTCAAGCAGTCATATATTGATAGGGCTCATAGGGCACAAGCGAGGCCAGCACGGTAATATATCAGACAAGGCAAGCAGGCAAGTAGATAGACACATGTTATGCTATGAGACCAGCAAACAACACCCGAGCAGCAAGAGTAAACCTGCACCTGCACAACCAAACCAGTCATACAGTGCCAGCTGCCTCCCGATAGCTAATGGCACTTGACCAAGCACCGTACCCTCCCTCTCAATGCGGGAGCTCCTGACCGTCCCATAGCCATACCTATCCTCAAGCCCGTAACCACTCAAGCCACCCTGACGCTGCCCATTGCGTTGGGAGGAGTCGGGCTGATAGACCCATTGTCGGAAGCACGCACCTGTCAGGGTGGCTTGAGTGGTTACGGGCTGTCAGCTTGGAGGCCTGACGTAACCACTCAAGCCACCCTCAAGCCGGTAGTGGGCCGTCAGCTTGGAGGCTACCGCGGTTAGCCTACCCTGCCTATATTTCTTTTTAGCTGCCTGTGTGCCCAGCATCCTCAAAAACCGCTGCGTGTCCCTTGCCAGAGCCCCATATGTCTCTACCGCCAGCCCCAACACCCCCACATAGTCCGGACGACCCTCGTACATTCCCCTTTTACCCCTTGCAGCATCCTCCGCTGCCCACCCAGGCGGCTTCACCGGCCTGGTGTCCCGACGTTGCAAGACAGGGTCCGTTACTGTCACGTCCGTCACCCACGTCTCAGCTGACTCTCTGTCCTTAAAAGCCAGGTCCGCTCGCTTAAGGGTGACTGGTTGCGAGTAGACCGTGGTCTCATATAGGGTTATATAGTCAGCCTCTCGTGCCATGTGCAGCGCCGCATATACTAGGGTTTTATGCGTATTCGTCCGGTCCTTCCCTTCCCCACACCACAGCAGGTGGTTGGGCAGGCTCAGATCCTCCAGCTTCCCCCTCTCCCCCTGGCACGGGCAGCTGTCGGTCACCGGCAGGGTCAGTCCCAACCGGAAGCCTAGGGCCAGAGCGTACTGCCCTGGTGAGAAGGTGAGATCCGCCCGCGTGGGGATGGCGTGAAGCCAATCCCCCGCACCCACTCCCTGTAGACTGATGAGTCGGACCACGTGGCCGTTGTCCTCCCCCGGCTTATCCTTCCTTGTGTCACCCACCAGCTCCGCTGCCCTGGTGAGGTTGATCTGCTGGGACAGCTGCTCCTGCATATGGCACTTCCCTCCCCTTCTTCCCGTCGGCGCCCCTAGTAGTTCCTGTGCCTTCTGCGGGAGCCGGTTCCGCATGTCCCTCAGCGTTGATCCTCTCCTGCCGGCTACCCCCTCCCCCAGCGGTGATACCAGCGCTTCTGCCCGCTGCAACTACTCGTTTGGTGAGTGCGGCATCTGTTGTAGGTAGCTGTGCAGCCCTTAGTGACGCAAGGTGTGCCGCTGGCGCTTCCGAGAGAGGATCGATCAGCCCCACGCCTCCCAGCGCGATGGGGAGTGTCGCCTGCCTCCACACCAGGCTCTGCTCCAACTCTTTGGATGGTACGTTAAGGTGTGCCGCCCTCAGCGCTGTCCATAGCAACCTCTCACTCCATCCGCGCCACTCAGCTAGGGGCAATACATCTGCCAGTGTTGTGCGCAGGAGGTAAGATATCCTGCGTGAGATGCACCTGGACAGCAACAGCATCGCGTGCTGCGGGTGTAGCTTGCTGATGAGTTGTAGTCGCAGGGCTATCCGCTCCAGCGTTTCCCGTATCGAGCGTCTGCAGTATGCCGTGGTACCAATCGGGCTCCCCAGGACCTGCACTCCTCCCACCGCTGCTGCCAGCCCTTCCGGTAGGTCCCCCGTGTTTCCCTGAGGGGCACCATGCCGATGATTTGACCAGGTTGCAGCGCAGGCCGAGAGCTTGGAGCTCTCGGGTGATCATGTTAAAAGCTCGTGTTGCCGCTGCCGGAGGTCCGACGATCGTAATGTCGTCGGCATATGCCATCACCGTCGCCTCTGGTGTCGCCACCGTTGTCGCCAGCAAGGCCGGTTGTATTGCCAACGCAAAGAGCGTGGGACCAAGCGGGTCTCCTTGCCAGACGCCCCGTGCGCTTTCGATGGATCTGACGGTGAAGCCACTGTCTAGTAGCAGCCTGGACGGAGCAGCGTACAGCGTTCGAGCGAGGGGAAGCAGTGAGATCAAGTTTGTCCATCTCAGTGTTGACAAGAAGTGTTCGCGTTCTACTGAGTTGAACGCGTTTTCTATGTCCAACTGCAGAATCACCCGCGTCTCGTCTTCCTCTAGTAGCGCTCGAGCCGCATGTATGATACACTCCGCCCCTCCCGGTACCGCCACCCCGTACTGCACCGGGAGGAAATATTTCCGGATCTCCCCTAATAACTCCCTCAGCGCCGCTTTCGCCACAATCCTTAGTAGCGCTTCTCCTATCGCTATTGGCCTGACGCCGCCGTCCGGTTTTCTTAGGGCTACCAATCTTGCCGGCAGTAGCAGCTCCCTTACTGGTCCGTCCTGGAACGTGCTGAGGAGATTTTTGACTAGGTCGCGGAGTAGCTTAAAGACTTCTCCATTTGTAAGTGCTGGGTCGCAAAGGTGCTCGAAGCATGTGCCTGAAGGGCCTGCCCCTATCCCGTTTGGACATTTCGCTAGGACGTCGCGGAATGAGTCTGCCCCGATTGCGAGTGCCGTTTCCCCATAACCCCCCAGTCCCTCAGGTATCGCCACTCCTGCGCGTGGGTGTTTCGCCCGAAGTGTCTCCAGGGCAGCCTGCGACGGTTCTGCCAGCTGTGAGCTCTGTAACGCCGCTGCTGCTTTCGCCAAATTGGCCTTGCGCACCAACCCTTCCACACGCGCGCAGGTGCCCTCTGCATCTGGCTCGTGCCTGCTTGGTTGGGAATCCGCCGGGAAGGTGCAGGCTTGGAGGTACAGTCCCCCCCACTCCTCATCCCGAAATTGTCTCAGTCGTTTCTCAACCCCGTCCAGACTTTGGCCTGGTTATTTCTCCGTGCTTGCCCTCAGTGTCAGCCAGGGCAGGAATTGCAGGATTCGCCACGCTCCCAGGCACCCCGGGCGCCTCGACAACCTCAAAAGTGGGATGGTGAGGAAGTGGCTGAAGGACTTCAGGATCTCAGGGGGAAGTTTCCGGATCAAGAATGGTTGCGTACTGGCGCGGAGTGGGTCCAGATTCCAGCTCTCCACCTGTTGCCATGCGGCATCATCATCAGCGATGTCGCTGGGCGATCGTTCCTTGCTGGCCATGTCATTTCTCTGTGCCATCTCTGATTCGCCCACCTGTCCGACCCCCGCCTGATTCCGTTCTTCCCTCCCTCGTACTCCGCCCCGTCTCCTCCTCCCCTCGTTGCCCGCTGGGACACCCTCCTTTCTCTTCCACCAAGACTTCTTCTGACTCTGCTTGCTCCTCGCCCATATATTCCGACTCGTCTTCCCCTGGCAGGTCATTTACTGCCTCTATGTTCTGCACCTCTGGCCTCCCGTGCCTTTCCCGCCAGTCGCCAGATCTAGCTATTTCCCTCGCAACCGATCTAGCCAGGTTCCCCGTCCGACCTCGTCTGCTCCGTCCCTGTCCGCGTCCTCTCGAGGCCATTCATCCTGTCGCGTTTCGCTGTTGCTGAGTCGATGCGCGCTCTTCCGCCTGCTCACGTAATGCCCTCTGCCTGCTCGTCTCGTTCCACTAGGCGTCGTGGTTTCCCGTCGCCGACGTGATCCCTTCCTCTTCTCCTTCGTTGTAGTTATGATCCATCGGCTGATGTTCCCCTCCTGTGCCCTCTTGTGCCTGCACACTCTCGTTCGATGGCGGGCAAGCAACGCCCCGCTCCCCATGGGAGGCGGTCGAGTGTCTCTCCTGTTGTTCCCAGCCCGTCAAAGGCTCAGGCCGGCCTGGCGCCAGCCCTGCTCCGAGCCGCTGCTGCCCTGGTCGCGCACGAGGAGGCCGATTCCCCTTCTCGTCACCGGGAGCCGATCTATCGTTCACCTCGCGGGCGGATTCATCCCCACCTTCGGGCCCGCGGCGGCTCCTTTCGCCGTCGACGACCGCCCCGACCATCTTCTGCCGTGCAGCGGGAGGTAGTTGGCCCCCTTCTTCAGCAGTCCCAGCGTTCCCACGACTCCGTTGCGCCCCCTCTCCCCTCCCCGGCCCAGTCGACTCAATCGTCCCAGCAGCTGTCGTGCGGAGCAGGAGTGCACCCGCTCCCCCTCCAACCGTCGCCTCCGTTGTCGTCAGCCCCGCCATTGCCTCCGCCCCCCACCGCGTCTCTTCTCCCACCGCCGCCTCCTCCCGCGTCGTCTGCTGAGGCACTCCTCGCGCCTCCTCCTCAGGCGCTGTCACCCTCTCCTGCTCTCCCCCGTTCGGACCCTCCTCAGCGGCAGCATCCCCCCGTTCCTGCTGTTCCGGCTCCTCCCGCTCAATTCCCTCCGCCTCGTGCGCAGTCTCCCCCTCTTCCGCCTGATGCGCCTGATCCGGAGGACGACGAGAAGTGGTGGAACGGCGACCTGTGGGAGTCTCCTCCTCAGCCAGGGACAACGTGGGGCCGTGATTGGGACATGCGGTCTGACTTTGTTCTTGATGTTCTCCGGTGGGAGCGGCGCATGGTTGGCGTTGGTGAGTGTCTCTCTCATGTTGCGACGGCGTTGGAGCAGCTGCATGCTGGGCTTGAGGCGCGGAACATTGTGTAGCGGGATCCCCAGCTGGACGAGCAGCAGCAGGGTGTAGTTCGCGCGGCTGCGGCGCAGGGCTTGTGGAGGCTCCTCCGTTTGCCCCTCGGGCCCGAGCACCCTGACGAGGACGAGGGGCCGGGCGCGAGGGCTTTCTGCAGAGTCGCCTCGGCTGCCGAAGAGGCGCCCCTGCAGCTCGTGCCTGCGCTCGCGTCCTTGCTCCGGTGGATCCGCCACCGGTTTTACGTGTTGAACCGCGTTTAGGGGCCTGTCCCTGCAGGGCCTTGCTTGTCGCCTTTTTGTTACCTTGCCCGTTAGAGTTGGGCGTAGCTACTGCTGCATGTTGTATGTACTCCTAATGATGGTTGTTGCTCGCTCCTTGCCACCCCTCATGCGCGGCCGAAGGCCGCGCTGTCGACGGCCGGCGCGAGCCGCCGATTTTGCAGTGAGAATGAACTTACCACCGAACAATGAGGGGGAGAGAGGACTTCTCACCCTTATATACCAGAGGGCTAGGCTGTGATGCCTAAGGACTGTGCAAGTCTGTGGAACTACACTGAAAAATGCCTAAGGACAAGGCTAGGATTGGAACTAGGCTGAAAATTGACTAAGGACTAGGACCCAAGGGTCTCTCTCTCTCTCAAGCAATCCTGCATTGATAGGTTTATAGGGGTATAGGCAAGGCAGGGATAGGTGCTAGACAGGCCTAGACACTGAAGCAACCAAACATGCAAGGCAGGTACATGGGGCGGACAGGACATCTGCAAACAGACCAGAAGAACAAGGCAGGGCAGGCAAGAGGAGCAAGGCAGGCAGGCCTGGCCGGGCATGGCAAGAGCAACAAAGCCTAGCATAGCAGGCCCAGCAGGTAGGCCGACCTGAACTCATCAGGCTAAACCGTGTCCATCCCCCTCTACCCCTCTAACCCCCTCTACATGTCGTCCTCTAGAACCTGCCAAAGGTCTCTCTCTCTCTCTCTCTCTCTCTCTCTCTCTCTCTCTCTCTCTCTCTCTCTCTATCTCTCTTTCTTTCTCTCTCTCTATCTCTCTCTCTCTCTATCTCTCTTTCTCTCTCTCTCTCTCTCTATCTCTCTCTCTCTCTCTCTCTCTCTCTCTCTCTCTCTCTCTCTCTCTCTCTCTCTCTCTCTCTCTCTCGCTCTCTCGAACGAGCCGCCAATTTTGCAGTGAGAATGAACTCACCACCGAACAATGAGGGGGAGAGAGGACTTCTCACCCTTATATACCAAAGCGCTAGGCTGTGATGCCTAAGGACTGTGCAAGTCTGTGGAACTACACTGAAAAATGCCTAAGGACTATGTCAGAGTCTCCTTGTCCCTTGGCCCTCTCCCCCCCTGCCCTTCTCGCTATGCTCTTGCCTTTGCTCTCTCTCCTGCTGCTTCTTGCTGCTGTGCCTTTCTCAGCCCCTCTTTGCCAGTGCCCTGAGCCCTCTACTCCCCTTTGCTCTAAGGTTTACAGCCTGCTCCTCATGCCCCCTCCTTGCCCCTTGCTGCCCCTGCATGGGGCTATGGATCGCTGCTTTTGCAGGCTGCCAGGTGGCTTCTTCTCCTCTCTCCCTCCTCTTCTGCCTCGTCTCTGCCCTGGGTACCGCCTTAGCTAGGTTGGTCGCATGATCTCTCCTTTCCTCTCCTCTGTCACTTGTCAGCACCACCACTCCTGACTCCCTTATTTCTTTTACCTTCCACCTCTCAACCCCCACTCCTATATCCATCATGTCGTGCTTGGCTTGTCTCAGGTACACCTCCTCTCCCACTCCTAGCTCTCCCTTTCCCCTTCCCTTCTCCGCTTCCTTACGCTTCTTGTATCTCTGGGCATCTCTGAGCTGCGCCACGTGCAGATTCTCTAGGGCGGCTGGCAGCAGTTCTCTGAGGTATCTTGCCCTTGCCTCCGCCTGCCCCACCCATCTCTCTTCATCTTCTGCCTTGACAGTCTCGGTGAGTATCTTGGGCGCATCTACTGGCATGATTGGCTCTCTCCCTAGCAGCAGGTAGTAGGGGGATATGTCCCTCAGGGCTGCCTGCTTGCTGAAGCGGTAGCCCGCGGCTACCCACGGCAGCCTCGTGTCCCAGTCTCTCTTGTATCTCTCACCGTATGCCCTCAAGCCTCTTTTCACCGTCTGAACGAATCTCTCCGTGAGGCCATCGCTCTGAGGGTGGTATCTGGATGTCCGTCTGTGCGTTATGCCTGTCTCCGCCAGCAGCTTGTCAAACTCTCCCATGAACTCTGTGCCCTGGTCCGTCAGGACCTCCCCGCACACCCCAAATCTGGTCAACACCTGTTCTTCGAACGCCTCTGCTATCCGTGCCGAGTTCTTGCTCGGTATTGCTTTCACCTCCACCCACTTGCTCCCATGCTCGATCATGATTAGTATATATCGCTTTCCTCGGCGGCTCAGTGGCATCTCTCTAGCTAGGTCTAAGGACCACCTGAATCCTAGACCCCTTACTGGCAAGGATTGCAGCTCCTCTCTCCCTCTGTCAAGTTTGGCCTTGTTCCTGCTGCACAACTCACAGTTCTGTACCCAGTCCTTGATATCTCTCCTCATCCCCGCCCACCACCAGCCCGTCTCTACCAGCTGCGTGGTCCTTAGGCTGCCGTAGTGTCCCAGCTGGCGGTGCACTCTAGCTGTTATGTCTTCTCTCTCCTCCTTCCTTGGTACCAGCTTCCACCCTGTCTTAGTGCTTTTCTGCAGCTGCCCTTCATACCACCGATAGCACATGCCCCGTGCCCTTGCCCTTTCACTGACTGCTTCTGCTTCTGCTGTTTTACCCTGCACCCACCTTAGCACCTCCTGGTCTTCCCACACATCTTCCGCCCCCTTCTCCGCCCTCTTCCTCACCCCTTCTTCGTCTATCTCTCTCGCTAACGCCACTAGGCAGGCTGCTAGCTGATCTGGGGGCGGATTCCTTGACAGTCCGTCAACATGCTGCATAGTTTTGCCCGGTGGTCGGGATGTACTTCAGCGGTGTACGCAAAGGTCTCTCTGTGCTCCTTCAGCACTTCCCGCAATGCCTTGGCTGCTTCTGTCCCCATCCCCTTTCCTATGACCCATTCATCTTCTGGTCCCCTCTCTCCCTTCTTAGCTCCTCCCTTCTAGGCTCCCTCTTCCCTTGCAGAGTGTCCTGCCCCCAGCATCTTCTCTGGCGCCTCCTCCACTGCCATGTAGGCCCATCCTTCCCTTATCCTTCCTTCATACTGCTCCTCTATCCATTCCAGCTCCTGCTTCCTCCTCTTCACCTCTCCTTCTTCGCGGTACCTCTCACTGCACTCGATCTGTCTGGCAATCTCCTTCTTCTTTAGGTGCATTCGGATCGTCTCTAGGATCCACATCATCACATTTAAGTCCATGGCTCTGCCCATGGCTGCCCTCCGTTACGCCTCCGTCACTTTGGGGTGTGCCATGGCCTCCCACCTGTGCCCCATGGCTGCTTCCCTCTCATTGGCCGTTGGCTCCTCCCACTTGCCCTTCCTCACATCGTATCTCATGCCCGGCCCTGGCAGCTCTCTTTCCATTCTGAAGCCTCTTGCTCCCACGTACGACACGAGCGTGGGCAGAGCCTGCCGCGGTTTTCCTGGCTTGTTGCATCGATACTGTGTAGGATGATCCCAGGCGGTCACAGGTGCAGGGAGGCGATTCGGGCCGAGATGTCAATCACTAGAATGCATATCACTAGCCCGAGATTGACATCTCGGTCGGGATGTTGGTCCTTCAAGGCTAGTGATTGACATTCGGGCCGAGAATGTCAATCACTAGCTGCCAACGTTGATGGTCGACATACTGACGGTCGCAGTATGTCGACCGTCAGCAGATTGTCAACGCTGCACCGAAGCAGTCTACCAGCCACAGTTGATAGTATCGCATGTGCGCACCCACTTCGCAGGTACGCAGCGACGGTCGAGCACGTTCTCTAACGTCGTGCAGGTGCCGAGTCGGGCACGTGCCGATGTAGAAGCTCCACGTCGACATTGGGATACCAGCCCGAGGTCACCTTCGCTATCACGTCCTCGACGACGGTCGCGCGCCTCCACAGAACCTCGTTGAGGTAACTTGGTTGACGAGGTCGATCACCCAGTGCGCGCCTGGTCAACGACATCTCTCGTCGACCACTGCACCTGTCGAAGACCACCCTGGACGACGACCCGTCTGTCGACCAGCTAGGTCAGCTGCACCCGTTGAGCTTTGATCGTCGACTACTCCTCCTCAGTCCCGCGTAGGTGGACGACCATCTCGTCGACTTGCCTCGCTGAACTACGCTGCCGGTTTCTGTCACCAGCAGTGTCGTATCGGTCCCGTGCAGCTCGAGGAAACCCGTCGAGCTGCTCGCCTAGGCTGGCGTCGACCATTGTGTACGGTCGGCTGCTCCTCCCGTGCACCCGATTAGGAAGTCTGCGTCACCCAGACGAGGGTGGGGATAACACTCAATTCCCGTTAACATATCCAAAACAGGTTTTGAGCGAGGGGGAAGGGGGGGGGAGAGGGGAGGAGGGGGAGGGGAACATGTAAAGAGGGGGGGTCATTTGAACCAAAACCAAGGAAGGGCCCAATCAGGCACTTGAGGCGTCCAAGAAGGGGCTGATTGAATCCCTAAACGCTCACGAGTGACATGCAAAACCAAAACTTAATGATAAGGTGCTTTGAAGTGAAATTCAAGAAAATGTTTGAATAAATGTCGACTACCGTTACCGCCAAGTCGCAAAGGCCTATTTGCGAATCAGATTGTATGTTTTAGTGTTGACTTGGAAAGTAGAGTTACCAAGATGATACTCGAATTCACGTTTGAACGCTTGCCTACACGTTGAAAACGATTTGGTCACCTCCGACCAATATCGACAGCTTCACGAAATCAGCGCATGATGAATATTTCATTATTAATTTCGCCAACGTCACTAATTCCACGTATGTTAGACAGGGTCGCCTAAATGGTTTAGTTGCGGCTCAGCGAGTGTCGACTCAGGTTTTTCAACCCTCACTAC